TGGTGAAGAGAAAGCTAGTTATGAAATTAAATATGAAGGAGAGACAGACACCTTTGTTGTGGAGATTTTAAGCCAAGATTTTGCCAGTGGTTGTGTGAAATTTATTGATTTGTGAGGTAGGTAACTCCAAATTCAAGGGGAATAACTCTTAACCCCAAAAATTCAACATTATTTTTTTGATTTCATAATAATCTTATATAAAAAAATAAAACAAGGGAAACAATATGTTTCATTCATTTGATAAAAAGATTAGCTATAATTTTCCATAAATTCAATTGGTTTGTTTCAACAATTACAAGAATTTATGTCCTGCATTGGCCCTCCATACATTTCTTTGCTTGTTGACAGGTACTACTTTCAGGAAAAAAACATGGAGATATAAGTGCCATTTTGGATTGGATACTGCTTCACTTTACTGGACTCTAATGTGAAATATGGAGAGAATTGGGACTTTTGCAAAGTAATTGTACATTCTTGGATGGTTAAACAAATTATTGACACTATATTTTGGAATGTTTGTGATTTGAGGAAGGCTGTGCGTGCGTTCTACTGTGGACATAGGAAAAGTAAGTTATTAAGTTATTAATAATTTTAAAAGTCAGAATTTGTTGTATATAGGTTTTACAACTCACCTTTTAACCTCTTTGTATGTGTTTTACTCTTGTATTTTGTGGTAATTCTGTGTTTTCATGAATTTCTGCATAGCCTTCAAATATGGCGGATTGTCCCAAGCAATAGTCCTTAATGTACTTGCCGATCGGCGGTTTGACGGATTGTGTTGAATGATGAAAGTTATTATCTTTCTGATTGTACTCATCCTACCCGGATTGAGTAGATCTTCTCTGGGCTTACCTCTTTATGACAAATCTTTCCAAGAGATTAAGACATTCCTGTTCGAAATGTGTAGTGTCACTGCATATACATTGAATACGTAAAGCCTGTGAGTATGGGATACTGTTTCTCGCATGTTTCGGGTGGCAACTCCGATGGTGTATGTAAACATGGTTCGTACAGAAATTCTAGAAAAACTTCAAGGAACATTTTACAGTTTTCAAGACTCATTCCTCATAGTATGTTTAGGTTTCGAGGACTGTTGATGGGAAATCTTTGAAATGTGTCATAAACAATATTAATGCACAGACTGATTTTAAAGAACGGATAAATGAATTAGCCCTATTTATTTTTAATTTTTAATTTTCTAAGCTATTTTTACTACAGGTTCAAAGCTTTTTCATCATATTTACTTGCTATCTAACAGTCTTTCAGTTCAGCTAACTTGTCAATTTGTTGTGAGTTTTATATTAGTGTCTTTTTCTTTGGCAGACTTCCGCAATGAATTGGATTGTGCTAGTAAAACAATTTTCCCTCTTTTTCTTCTTTAAATGCAAACTCACTATATATAAATTACTAAATCCGTATATGTCAATCTATCTGGCTACAAGTAAGACGGAAATATGTATTTCTAGATTGATAACAACATCTGTACACGTATGAATTGTGTCATCAAGGGAGGTAAAAGAAAAAACAATAATATAAATAAAAATCAAGGGAGGTTATCAGTGAGAAAAAAAAACTATTTTTGTTGCATTTATAAGCAAATAAATCCGATAGAGTGAACAATGGGTAAAAATAAAGTTTTGTACAACATAAATTATCATCATGTTTCAAAAGAAGTAAACATTGACATGTACCCATCTAAAAATCAACAAAAACTTTTATACATAAAATCAGAAACACGTGTATCTTCAATCTGTCATACACGTACTAATAGTGTCATGAGTGAACATCAGTGTTGCTAAGTTGCCACATGGTAAACATTTATAGGCATGAAATGGATTTTATAAGCATAATAATAAAATCAATGTAAGATTGAAATACAAATAAAAGACTCACGAGCCGTTTGGGGGTCCATGGGGATCTGCCAGAAACCTGAACCAAGTTCAAGGCTAGAAAAGAATTGAGCTTTGACCTCCCCCAATAGAGTCGCAGACATCTTCAAGATGAGGAAGAGGAAAGCTGAATTGTTTAGTGACTGCGTGAAGTTTTCTGTAGTCAACGGCAAAGCGTAACTTCATCATTACCGCGGGTAATTGCCACATAGATGTTGACTCGGATAAAATAACATTCTCGAGCATCTCCTGAATTTGATGTTCAGTTTCGGCCTTTACCTCTAGGGATTGACGGTAAAATCTTTGCCGAATAGGAGTTGCGTCCCCTGTTTCGATAGTATAAGACTCATGTTTAGTTTTACCACGTTCCGACAAATTAGTAGGAAAGACAGATCTGTTCTCATTAAGAAAAGTGATAAGAATAGTTTTTCTGTTCTTCAGATAGATCAGAGTCAATCATATGTGTCTGAGGTAGGAGATGAAGATGGCTCTTTCCTACAACCAGATGATGATGATTCTTGAGGTATTTCCTTGGTATTGTCAATATTGGATGCTGATGCTACAGCCTTGTTCCTTAAAACGACAATGTCTTTGTCAGTAGGATTCATTACTTGAAACACAGTTTTCTTTCCAGATTGTACAACGTTTGTGTCAACAGAGAAAACTGCATCAGAGGAAGGTTCCTTAATATGCAATATTTTTGATGATATGTTCAAAACAGCACTGTGATCTTCAAGAAAATCCATACCTAGAATGAGGTGTTGGTGAAAATTTTCAAAAACATGGAAATTTTGTGAAATTAACATACCTCCAAAAGAAACTGGTAAGGATACAGAACCTAAACTGCAGTGATTTTTACCGCCAGCTACTAATACACTAATGGCAGAACATTTTTGTAACGTTGACATATCAAAGTTAATTCTATCTAACAATGGTAAGGCTACACAGGATATAGATGCTCCTTTGTCGACCAGAGCTTTAACAGGAATGCCATACAATTCAACATTTACTGTGCAAGTACCTTGAACATGACATATGCCAATGAGATTACATCAGCAATACAATTATTTTTGCCGTCAATATGCTTGGCATAAATAACAAAGATGTGCGTAGCGGAGTGAAAAGTTAATCGGCGCATGAGTTTCATGATACGAGGCACTTTTGATCTACCTTTATGGATAACTTCCACAGTAGCCATATTGTCAAAATGAAATAAAATCTTCTTACATGACCACAAATGACCCCATTGAACGCATGCCATAACAATAGGGTACAACTCGAACAAGACCATGGACTGCTTTTCCGCGTCAAGTTCCTCAGGGATTCTAAAGATGTAACTGGACACTCTGTTTTGTGCATGGCAATGGGAATCTTAAGGCAGTGAAAAATATCCAGAAATGTAGTCATAATTTCTCTAGCATTTGAGCCAGGAAGCTCCACCACATCATCAAGCAAATGTAAACGTTGGCAATTTGATACTTAAAGTGAGTAACCCAGGAAATGGCTGTAAACAGTGTCCAAAATTTTTGGGCTTTATCTACTCCCAAAAACTAACCTCACAATGAAGTAAAATACATTCTCCCAAGAAATGCCATGGAAAGGCAGAAGATTAAAAGCATCAGAAATATCAGTTTTAAATAACTTAGAACCCTTTCCTAAGTGTTTAATAATAGAAATAGCGTCGTCGATGGTAACATACTTCAGAGGGCGAGTTCCCTTATCGATTAAGCTGTTGAGACTAGGATTTGCAGGATCATCATGTGGCACGGACATATCAACAATCAATCGTTTTTCAGTGAATATTTGTGTACCGCCAAGCCTATAGGGTTTATTCTAAACTTATGAAATGAAACAGCATCGAAAAACCTTTCTCTAATTCCTTGCGAATCAAACCCTGAATTGCGGTGGGGTCCTTAGTAGCAAACTGCGAATTCCTACACTGAATGGAATTGGAGGGCAGGTAAGAAAATCCGGTCTCAAAACCAATCTTTAAACCTTGTAGCAGGTAAGACAAAATCTTTGTCCGGGTGAGAGGTTAATTCCTGAGCCAACACAGCAAAATCGATAGGAGTAGTCACCGTAAGAGAAGCACTAGCTATTTTTGATTGGTTTGAGTCACGTTTCCCTAAAGGGCACTTACTTGCCGAATGATTAGAGTTGCAGTTCAAGCAGATATGAGCCTTGAAACAGGCTGAAACCGAACATCCCCTCTCTCCGTTGAAGTTGTTACAAATTTTGCGAGAACCATAAATAAATTCTAGGTCGTCCATGGGTATCTAATGTAGATTGGTTCCCTTTACAGACCGATTGATGAAAACGTTATTGAAAAGAACAGTGTCTCTCACTGATAAATCAACACATCGATTGTTGAAACGCAATTGAGCGGCTGCTAGTTAAAAAAAATTGCAATGATATTCATAGAAACTCTGGCCCGGGAAACGAGAAGCCATTTCAATGATATCACGTTCATACAGGTCGAGTTCAGCCCACCTGTGTTGAAAAGTTCTACACATAACCTGTTTGCAGGTGCCGACTGCTTGAATAAATTCACCTAAATTAAGGGACCTCTGCAGTCTGTGGTCGGGTGTGATGTCAAAAGAATTATTATCCCCCCCAAACTGCGAAAGAATGGTATTAACAGGTCATCAAGGTTGATGTCCTTACCTGCGATAATCTGCTGTTGACGGGTAGTAGAGATGGTCGGCAGTGAATGCACGGCATAACCAAAATATGTTCTGGTCACAGTAGGAACTAACTGGTTCATTCCCTGACAAGTGAGAGGCGCTCCCTTCCGCTGCACTGGGTAGACACGATCCAATGTAGAACGATCGGTAGGCACTATGCAAGTCAAAACTGGTAATGTTACCGACTGTCGTATCACTATCAGGTGTTGACACATACTCTCGGTCTGAAGAATGGACAGCAGAGTCGATGCGCTCTGCAGATGTATGACTGGTACTGTTTACATTAAATTGCTGTTCAAATTGTGAAACCTTAGCCGTTAAAAGGGACATAAGGGGTATGTTCGAAACGGCTGTCCTGGTCAGGTTCCCACTGTCTCATGGAACAGTCCCTTTCGAACGCACCGGCACAGGAAGTTGATAAAACAATATGGCGGCGCATAACACCAGAAACACATTGTTGGCAGCAGCTATGTTGTTACAGGACGATGATAGCGACAGTAATGACGAATCAATGGAAACCATCAGTCCTTTCATATGCATATGGGCGTCTTTATTGTAAGTAAACATTTCATAGCGAAATGCAGAGGTTCTATATTGCCATTAGGCCACGAGAACCAAAGATATCCTTGGTTTCAATAATATTAAAACCAAGTACCTATGATGAGAACCAAACATTTTAAGACTGTACCCTACCAAAGGCTAGCCCAGACAATAGTAAAAGGACATATCTATATATACATAAAGAGTATTCTTTATCATTATGATAATAATAACTCGAACTTATAAATATCTTCCATTAAATATCATGTATAGATTTACGTCTGCAGAACTCATTTGATGACATCTTATTTTAATAACGACCAACATTCACAAATGCCAACGTTTACGTGATAGAAAAAAATATCTCGTGGATTTTGAAATATGTTCTATCTTAAAATTAATTAAGGTATGTTATATCTGACTATATCAATCGCAAAATTTAATTTCAGGCAAGGAGATGAGAAGGCGCGTATAAGAAACTATGTAGAAAATGTTGTCCCACTCTACACAGATACTGATTTTCGACGAATGTTTCGAATGAATCTCTCAACATACAAAGCTCTAATCAATTACCTTCAAGATTTGCCTGGATTACAGCCAGCAGGTCCAGGAAGAAGAGACGCTATTCCGTTAAACAGCCAAATTCTACTGACACTTTGGTACTTAGGAGGTGTTGATACTATTGCCAAAATAGCAGATCGTTTTGGCATGTCAGATTCCTCAGTTGTGCTATGCCGAGATAGAGTACTTTCTGCAATTGTAAATCTGAGACACAAACTGATTGTTTGGCCCAGTAGACAGGAAATGGTTGAGGAAGCTGACATATTTAGTAAAAGGAATGGATTTCCTGGCATAGTAGGGGCCATAGATGGAACTCATATTAAAATTAGAGCACCAAGTCTCCATCCTCAATCATATGTGAACAGGAAGGGGTACCATTCACTTCAACTGCAGTGTGTATGCCACCATAACATGTTTTCTGATGTTTTTACTGGTTATCCAGGTAGCTGCCATGATGCGAGAGCATTGAAAAACAGTGATCTGTGGTCAAAAGGGTTAATGAGGTGCAATATGGTGTACCATGGTCTTGGTGATGGAACATACCCATTGAGAAGGTGGCTTCTGACCCCTTATCGTGACAATGGACACCTAACCCAAGGGGAAAAGAAATACAATTTTTACCATTCAGGCAACAGAGTGGTAATTGAAAGGGCCTTTGCTCTCCTGAAGTCTCGCTTCCGCAGAATTCACCACATTGATTCGCCCAAAGTCTCAACTGTTGTGGACATAATAATGGCAAGTTGTGTTCTTCATAATATTTGTATTAAGCAAAATGACAACATAGATGAATTCTTGTCACAAGATGGTGCAGCTATAAATGTGAACCTTATCCAAGACCACAACACTGAAGGAATGCTTAAAAGAAACAATATCACAAGAAATCTTGTTTAATTATTGACGACAGTCATCTGCCTGTGCTTGCCATGAAAATTAAGTTCATTATCAATCTCAGATTCAGGGCAATTAAATTTTGCAATGAAAGCACTTGAATGTACAATAGTAAAAATGTACAAGGTGGATCAGTGATATCTGTAAATGGAGAGGCAGACAACTGTTGGGCTGTTAGTGACTTTCAATTTTGAGTTTATCAAGTATTGTGTAGTATTGTATTTTTTTTTTTCATTTTTTTTTCTTTAATGAGAGTTTATTGGCTAAAAAAAATTTTGTCCAATCATTTTGTTAATGACCCATAAACTTTGAAAGGTCATTGGCCCATACTTTTATGCAGCCTCGATTATCCCAGTATAAATGTAGCAATATTCTGGTGCAAGATCAGATGAACATGTTAGATGTATAGTAAGTCATACCCATTGCTGCATTCATGTTGCAAGATGCAAATGCATGTAAAGTATTCAGATCTTTTCGTTTTATCTTCTCATTTCTTACTATGCTTTAGCGCCTCTCATAAACTTGGCATCAGTTATGCAATATCACAAGGAGGCGAACATTCAGCTTCCAATATACACATATAACTAAATCTATATTACATTATCATACCATGTTGTTGGGCGACTTTCTGGTCATAGGGTAAATTTCATCAATTTAATGGTGCATCATTCTTCTCTTTCATTAGGTGGGGTGTCGTAAATAGTACATTCTCAAATATTACCAAACATATAGTATATAATGTAAACTTACTCCAGATTTGAAATAAAGATCAGAAGATGTCCTAGATGTATGTCTCTCTTTGTTTTATTAACATCAACATTGTTTGGGTTAACAACATATTTTTGGTAAAAAAAAAATTATGAGACAACTCAAAATTTCACAAAAATGCCTTCTTTGAATGACAGAAAAATATATATATCCATATATAAAAAGACAAAAAGATGTACTGTATTAACAAAATGTAAACATTTGGCAAAATAATTGGCACCTCAGTAAGAAAACAAATGGCAATCCAATGCAAATGAATTGTATTGCTCACACCTAGTATAAACATATTGCATTAACTCTGATATTTTGGTAACATGAAAAACCTGATAAACATCAGAGGAACATGTCTACTGCTCCGATATAACCTTAAAGTTAAAAGTGTTTGATTGGCAGAGTATTTGCCTTATTTGATATACTGATACCAGTAGGTAACATTGACTTTTCAGTTTCGGTGCAGAAAATACATGTAGATAGATGTTACCTTTTAATTTGACCTTGACACTAAACTTTACTTTGTTTGAAGTCTGATAGTGACCTTGTACACCGCGACGAAGTTGTCCTTTCCCATCTTCGGATCGGCCATACACACCTTATGCATTCGAATATGTTGAAAGGCGAAGATATTCCTCGGTGCATAGGATGTGATGAGCTATTCATCATTTAACATTTTGTATTGGGCTGCATTGACCTTTTGTTTACTCGCGAAAATTTTTATCTTCAGAAAACCTTTTTTTGAAACTATTCAGATAAGTAAAATTCTAGGTTATCTGGAAGATGTTGGTCTATATTATTAGTGACTTAGTATTTTGAATCTTTTGTGAAAATATAACCATTTAAAATTTTTGGTGTCTAAGTGGGCCGTTAAGAATATAATAATAATCCGCTGTCATTTTCTACTATTCTCAATCCATCGCTTCCGAACTTTTAAATTAAAAACAAAGGCTGCATTTGGTTTTGATTGAATTTTTCGTCTTTGCATTTCAAGTCATGCCGAGATTCCATGGTAGAAGGGAAGAGGCATTTGTTATCGTTCTTCTGTAGGAATGGCAGCATTCAGTCCCAAATTGATCGGAGACATTCTTTGGTGAAGGAAGTTTTGTATAAATGGTTTGGCTGACCCACTTGGGGGCAGAAGGGTGGGTCTCCATGGGTAATGGAAAACTCTTTTCGTTTAGTTGAGATATAGCAACTTCTTGTCGTGGTGATAAAGTCTACAAAAGTTGAAAAACAATCGCTTGAAAACTGTAAGTAGATCTTAGCAAAAACGTTTTAACGGGCGTATTCAGCTGTTTTGTTAGTATATTTCCTACACTGAATATCACCTGGCGGCAAGCAACCCCCCCCCCCAAAAAAAAAAAAAATTGAAAAAAAAAGAAAAATATGATTCAGCAATACGCCTTTAATAAACAAAACTACATCGGTTCCGTCTTTCGGTCCGTTAAATGCACTATACCACATTGCAATGGCAGAAAATGGCGTGTTGATTCTCATCCGTCACAGTGTCAGCTAAGCAAAGTCCTGCTTTGTCGACAATATTCTCTAGCTGTTCCAGTGTATATTTGCAACTGAATCCAGTGCCTTCGTGGAAATAAAGCCGTTCTCCTTTCTTCATATGTAATTGGATGCCTAGACCAGCTGTACAACAAATGTATAAAATGATAAATATATGCTCGAAAAAAATGCACAAAGTTCCCCCCTGCAGTACACCTTAGCTGTTTGAATATGTGGTCAGGTATTACATCAAGAATGATCTCCTTTCTCGAAAATCTACCCTAAAATCAGCGAAGCGTGACTATGACATTGTCCGACTTTGTCTTTTACCTTTTGGTATGTTTAATGTTATTTCCTTTTGGATCAATGTGTATTTTACTGTTTTATGGTCCTAATGACCTTTTGTGTTGACGGGCCGTTAAGAATGCAACAATAAGAATAAACTTTTCTTTTACAGTATTGGAAAGAGTAGACTTGTCCATTCTAACTGATATAAAAATTTGTACAATATTACAGGCTATTGATTGCATAATTGAATTGCACTTTTTGTTCGGTAGATATTATCACACAGCAACAATATTTTTAATTTTTTTATCCAAACTAAAATTTCTAATGACATCAAAGAACCCCGTCGAAAACTGAAGTCTTATGCATTACTTACAGACAACGACTGGTTTGAAATTTCATATATCGACTACATTGTGGCTCCACGGCCCAATTAGTTTACATGATTCCATAATAGGATACACCAACAAGAAAAACTCACGTATCGCAGACAGGATATCTCTCTTAGCCTGGATGTAGTTTCTCACATAACTCATACGATTGGAACTGGTGTCTGATATGAAGTCTACGTGAAATGTGAACATTTTCAGATCTATTTGACTTCCGTGCTCATTGTTCAATCGTGTGATAGCATGTTGCACGAACCTCTGTTCCAGACCTATCGAACAATAAACGTCAATAACTTTCGTAGTGAAATCCTAAATCAACACTTGATCAAAGAAAATTGCTGGGCTGTTGAAAGTAAACTCTGCCATGAAAGAGAGATTGAATGTGCTGCCACGTTACAACTACAATACTTGGTAAAACAGTTATCGTAGAAATCATATTTCTTGTCGATGATGTTATCTGTCTCATTTATGATCAGCATACAAATTATAAATTAGGGCATAAAGTGTTTCAATGTCATTACAGGTTATTATCCTTTGTTTCATTTCTCGGTGCATTGGACAATAAGCCTTTCACCGTTAAACATTTATTATTGGACTGCATTGACCTTCTGTCTACTTGAGAATGTTTTAATCGTAACATTACATGTCTAAAAACCTTTTTTGAGACTGTTGAGATTTGTTAAATTGTGCATTACCTGAAAGATGTTGGTCTATATAATAGAATATGACGTACCATTTTAATATTTTGTGTTACCAATTTAAGATTTTTAACATTTGTCTTTTATCTTTTGGTTTGTTTAATGTTATTTCATTTGTGATCGCTGTGTGTTTTACCGGTTGATGGCTCTAATGACCTTTTATGTTATGACGGGCCGTTAAGAATGTAATAAAAATGATAATTAACCAGTTTGAAGACTAATTCCTGCAAATATTTCACGATTAAAGTCTATCAGTAAAATGTACCCAGATTTAAAGATACCTTCTTTGTCATTGTAAGCTGCAAGGATTGTCGGTCTATCTTGTGTAATATCCGCACTGAATAACAATGCACACCTGTCTGGAAAACAAACAAGGTCGCTTTAAACAATCATGCATTTCAAATTATACATGGTTGTACTTTTTGGCTATTTGATGCATTAGTAATAGTAATAACGCGAAACATCTATAAAGACGCATTAAACCCACGTATTACAGTGTGTATTAGTTTTAATGTTATCATGACGGATTTCATGAAACAAAGTATTTATTTCGTGAGCCGTGGAGAGGGAAAATAAAACTTTCTAAACTGATACTTTTTCATGTAAATCAGAAAATTCACACTTCAGGGTACAATATGTAAAATACGAAGGACAATTCAAGGATCAGGAGGTATTTCAGTGCGCGATTTTCAATTTATAACGTAACGTCTTTGTACATATTACGACAATGCACGATTTCTATATTTTCATCCGTAATACCTTAATACTATACCATGAACTTGCCTTTAACTTTCGTATTGCTTTTTGCTGGGTTCCTGGGCACATGGGAATACCAAGCAATGAAAAAGCAAATCATGCCGCTAAGGCAGCTTTATCGCTACCACCTGTTGTTTTACACTTCATTTTACCGATTTTAAACCATTTATTAAACAAATTTTAAAAGCTCAGGGGCAGGAGGAATGGAATACCTATACTACTGAACCATTTTTCTAATATAGGCGTCAGAATGTATAACAGGAAATGATTCATGTTCACACATCATTAATGTTGTTCCTGCTTTCTGCTAAATTTTCATCAGATTTGACCAGCTGAAAACTGCATATCAACCAAAAACTTAACATTGAAAAGCGGCTAATTGTTAACTTGAACATATTCTAAAATTGAATTTCCAAAAAATATGCTTGACTTTCTCACGACATAAAAGAGTGTGGCACTGCTTCAATGTTTGGAATTCGCCCGAGTTGCTAGCCACTTATCTCGTGTCAAGAAACAAGTTGAAATATTCTTCATGTAGTTCTAAAAATCAAGAAATTGGTACAAGACAGCAATTGAAAAATGTTTTGTGATGTTTCATCCACAATTTAGTTGAATTGAACCCAATGCTTTCATAGTTTTATTAAAGAAATGTACGTTATGATGAAAAAAAAACCTTGAAAATGCTGACCGATTTTAATCGAATCAAGCTGCCAGGAAATAGAGTCCATAGGCGGTGTTTTCCCACACATCACATTTCACCTAATATATACAATTATACATTACAAATTATACAAAACTAAAAGATATATTAAATTGCATTAGATATTGAATTTGTCTTCACTACCGGTCTAAATGACCTTCATCAAATCGTATTAAGACATAGTAGTTGGGTAAGCTAAATTATACGTTACTTGTCATTACTGTTGAAATCATCTTGAGCGTGTTCACTTGTTCATCATAAGACATGTTGATGATACTGCCAAACCAAAGAATCAGTTTGGGACCTTTCACTACTTTTCTGCAACATGTTTATACAATAAATTACTTATCACGTAGTTACAGACTAATAAATTTAACAAAGATTATGTAACGATACAGTAAAAGAGCCTAGGAAGTAAAGACCATGATGGTCAATTGCTTTTTTTTCTGTTTTCTGTTTTTATGTTGTGTTAATATTCGGTTCATGGAGTACTAAGCTCTCCACTACAGCCATGATTTTCGTAACCTCATAGACCTACAGTGTAATAATTATTTACACAGTAATAGGGAAACACGGCTGTATCTTGCGGTTTGCGGTGATGGGAATACCAGGGATCCTTTGATTCCACTATAAAAATAGTTGTAATTGATATTATTTTCTAAACATTTTCCCAATTCGCACGGGTTTGGTTATAAAGAGTGTCAAAGATGTTGGATGTTGGATGTTGTGGAGAGGTGTGGCGGTCAATAGAATCACGATGATTGAATAACTTACCCGAGTTCTTCGATTCCCTGTACATAATCTGCAGCTATAGGTGTGATCTCTACTTCGTTGTCGTATTCCTCTGACAGTTTTTTCATTGATTTCAGCAGAAAATCTGTAATTGTTTTATTCTTGTTAGCAAACTGGTCGACGGTTTTTTTTACATTTGGCATTCAGTTCTCAAGCTCCAGAAAAAGGATTTGTCATAGTGATAAAGACGGTCAAAAGACTTGACCCCCAGCATATTAAGTCTACACGATAATATCAAGATAATGTAAAAAAAAAAACGAACAAATGCGATCGATTAATTAAAGATCGAAAGGTTTGTAAACGCACAGTAGATCTTTAACTCATCGTTTACAATTATTTGTTTCACAAACCTTTGGAAATATCCACAGGGTAAAACTTAAGTTTGTGTTGTCTTTTGAGTAGTTCATCAATCACGAGTCTCGTTTTGGAACAATTTCCACTTCCTAGGTCGACCAAGGTCAGTTCGTAAGGAACGCTGGGAATGATGCTCTTTAAGTAAATATCGCAGTTTATTTAATAATGCAATTCTATTCTAATTATACTGGTCCGACGTTTCAAAGCAAATGGTATTTCATATACAATCTACACAGTATCTGTATATATGCTAGCGGAAAAAAGAAACTGGGCATTGGTATAATATGCTATGACTGAGGTATACAAGAAATCGCCAATTAATTTTCAACGGGGCTTTATCTTACCTTTATTTAACATCAACTCAATTGACATGGTAATTGCATCAGTAGTGCCTTGGATGGATATCAGTTTTCGCCTACGTTCTCTTAGCAAAGTTCAGCTCATCAATACCGTATATGTCTATATGTCACCATTGATCTATACACGTTTGACAACGACGCCTCACTGATACGACAAGTATGCAGTAAAATGCATGTTGAATACCATTTCCATGTTTTATCACAAGTGCACCAGACAGGTTAGTTAACGTTAACGTTTGGTTTGGAGGCGACGTAAGTGACGCTGTATCTCATCTCGCACGTGTTCTATAGACAACATATCCGGTGACATTGCCGGCCAATGCAGCACATTAACATTGTTCTGGATCAAGAAGTCAACCACAAGTGCTGTTCTGCAACGGAATGAGATGCAACCCCACACCATGACACTACCTCCGCCGAATGGACGTTGTTGAATCTCACAATAGTCATGAAAATGTTCACAAACACGAAGGTACATTCTAGAAAGACCGTCGCTGCTGTCGTGATAAACCTGGACTCGTGTGTGAAAAGAACACGTGCCCAGTCCTAACGCGTGAAGTGTGGGAGTCGTCTAAACGAGGCTAAACATGCTACACGATGACGTTGCTTGAAAGCAGGACGTATGATTGAACGTCGTGGACGTATGCTTCGTTCAAGCAATCGATTACGTACCGCGGTTGGGTAGGGGAGAGGGGGATGGCTAATTCTTATACCATGACTTCTTTTTTATTTCAAATTTTCTATCAGATAGAATATTTCAATTCCGGAATGGAACGACCCTTTCCGATGTTCATCCGCAGGAAATGGGTGTATCACACGGCAGCATTCTCTCGGTTACACTTTTTGTGTTATGTTATCGATCTAAGCATATGAATAACAAAAGAAGGCAACTACAACCATGTTTAAATCGACTCCAACGTTGGTCAGATGAAAATCGATTCAAATTTTCTTCACAATCAAAACTCCCTTTGTGTTGTACCCATATAAGTTGAGTTGAGTAAACCAAATTCTTGGGTGTAATATTCAACAGGAAATTAGCGTTCATTCCACATATTACATATCCTAAAGCCAAACATTCTAAAGGTAGAGCCCTACACTGGTTTAAGAGCTGATAGAAAAGTTTTGCTCAGATTTGATAGAAGATCAAAATTAGACTACGGTTCCATTGTGTATGTATCTGCTAGACCTTCATATCTCAAATTATTAGACATTGTTCATCACCAAGGTCTAAGGCCTGTTCTCGGAGCTTTTATGGCCTCCTCCCCTGCGGATAGGGGTTAGAATATATGCTGTATCCCAGTGTGGTAAAAGTCCACTAAAAGGGGCAACCTGTCTGCCGTGGGTTGCGTCTCGTTAGTACTGGGAGAAAGGATCCTGGTGGTTGAGGGGCGATTATGTGGTTTGCGCTTTATTCTCAAGCAATCTCGCATGACCTTCCCCCGAAACATCACTTTGGCCTATATTTCAGTAAGACGGATGGTCATTATGGTCCTCAATGATCAATCGGCTGTTCATGTCAAGCCCTGTTTGAACTTTGTCCTACGTATCATGCTTTTCCTTTTGTTTCACTCAATCGTATTCCCATCTACTTCTATAGCTTTTATTTTACAATTGTATCCCAGAAGGCTTAAGGACCAATCGAGAGAGTTCTTTTCTTTCGAGTATACTACCATTGTATCCTTGGCACTCATGTACCGAAGATCCGTACCATTAAGGTGGCCCCTTGTTGGGCTCCGAGGTGGGTGAGGAGCACGGGTAATGAAAAACTAAACACCTAATTATGGGCACAAAAAAGACTTCTTCCACACAGTCATCGCGACCACCACTGTCACCATCAAAACAGAATCAGAACCGTCAATCACTATCAAAACCTGCTCCCAACACTCAAAAAGTGAAAAACCAACCAAAACAAAAAATTCAAATTTCCTCAGATAGAAGGAAAAAATGGTCGACGACCAAATTCACTTTCAACAATTTCGGCTCTCTGGAGGATATGGAGTACCAGGAAGCTACTTTCAGATCCTCCAAGATCTCTATTAAAGCTGTCCAACCACCTTTGGTTAAATTGTTTTGCTTATCTCTATTGTTGTTAGTCATAATGGATACAATAATCCAATGGATCCAATATTGATGAAATTATTCGACTAACTCGGGAACATAACCCTAGAGTAATCGGTCTCCAAGAAACGCTCACCAGAGCCGAGACAAATATGAATTTCAAAAAGTATTCATGCTTCGGTCCTGTTGGCAACAAAGCAACCGGTGGAGTTGCTATGCTGGTTGACAACTTAGTTCCTCACAGAAACATACCATTAAATACAGACCTCCAGACAACTGCTGTTAATGTTACTACGCTAACAGCATGCTCCATCTATCTCCCTCCAAACTCTGATTTTACGAACAACCAACTAGACGAACTCCTATTGCAACTGCCTTCGCCTTTCATACTTTCGGGTGACTTAAATGGTCATGAGAACCTTGGGGTTCACTCAACATTAATGAGAGGAACAAAAATTGAAAAATTCATATTGGAAAATAACTTTGTCTTTACAATAAAACAATCTCCAACTTATTGGTATCCCTCTTCCGGAACATTCTCGCACCTTCATTTAACTTTATGTCACCCATCTTTGTTACTCGATTTCGAATGGAAGCGACCACTTTCCAATATTTCTAAGGAATTGTGGATCCACAGAGACCGATCATGTACCCATTGGAAATCATATAAAGCAGACTGGTGAAAATTTGAACATCTCCGTACCTAAATTCTCAACACCATTGATTTACTGAATTTAGAAGACCCGATAGAATCCTTAACTACCAAACTTCTTGAAATAGCGGAAGAATGTATACCAAAGACCTTGGATCATTATTGATATTATTATTACATTCTTAACGGCCCGTCAACACAGAAAAGGTCATTAGGGCCATCAAACGGTAAAACAAGCAGCGATCCAAAAGGAAATAACATTAAACAAACCAAAAGGTAAATGACAAATGTTAAAAATCATCCATGTCTCCCAGGACCAGCTGCATTTGGTTGGACTTTTGATACAGACTCAAGTCACTTCTCTCGTGTTCGCTGTTTGAATCCACCAGCTCCTGAAGCAGTATTGCCCCTAATAAAGTGCGGATGCAAACGTGGATGCGAAGGAAAGTGCAGCTGTCGCAAAAACAAAATCCCATGTACAGAACTTTGCCGATGCTGGGTTTTCAGTTGCAACAACAAAGATATCCAGCCAGGAATAAATGAGGACAATGAAAATTATGATGTTATTTTCTATGACATTCATGGTTATTAATTTACTTTATTTAAACTATTGCTTTGTTACACCTTTCGTTCATCCTTCTCGAAATTGCAGTTAAAATATGAAACATTCTACATTTATATATTGATGGTTCAAAAGATAATGATAAGGTTGCTGCGGCCATGGTTACACAAGATGAAACCTAGGGATGCTGGCTACCGAACAACGCCTCAGTATTTTCAGCAGAAGCGCGAGCTATCTGCCTGTCCCTTGAATATATTCAAGGAAACAAAGTAATAATAGCTGTTATCCATTCAGACTCTCTTTCTGTTCTACAAAGTCTACGCAATAGAAATACCGAAAATATTTTCATTCGTAATGCTATAATACTACATCATGAACTTGCTTTTAACTTTCGTATTGCTTTTTGCTGGGTTCCTGGGTTCATGGGAATACCAGGCAATGAAAAAGCAGATCGTGACGCAAAGGAAGCTTTATCGCTACCACCTGTTGTTTTACACTTCATTTTACCGATTTTAAACCATTTATTAAACAAACTTTAGAAGCTCGGTGCATGAATATTGGAAAACCTATAATTATAATAATAATTGCTTTGTTCAAAATTACAACTTGATAGACATGGACTTAATCAGAATGACTTTATGCATCTTTGAGTTTAAATGTATCTGGATATATTTTTTGACTTGCTAATTATGTATATTTTTTTTATCATTTTTATCAATACATGTCTTAAAATGATACTTAGTTTGTAATTACTAAATGTTATTGGCTCAATAATGTTTGCAAACGTATACTAGTAGCCTACAATTCTGGGTGCAGGGTGGCCATTTTGAATGAAATTTTGAAATTTGGCACGTTGATCATGCTTATAACTTACATCTTATGATTCCAAAAGCTTCCTTGTCTCAAAAACATATTTGGATATTTAATTTGTAATTGTAACATATATACTTGCGAAGATATTGCATTTTTGGTGTTCGCCGGCGATTTTGGACGCCATCTTGGATTTCATACCCTTAGAATGTTCAGAGAAAATGCCGCCCTAATTTTTTAAAAGCTTTTGATACCTCCTTTCAAAATCATGTGAGTTTTTGCTTTTACCAAAAAAGTACACGAAATTACAAATGAGCCTACACTGAAATTCCATCCTAGCTCTTGAATTTACCTGAAGTTCACTTTACGAAATGGTTAATTCAGATACTGACAACTGTGCCTTCCGTTCATCCTTCTCAAAATTGCAGTTAAGATAATAAGAATAAAAGAAAATATTCTATATTTATATACTGATGGTTCAAAAGGTTGCCACATCCATGATTACACAAGATGAAGCTGATGACGCCTCAATATTGTCAGCAGAAGCGCGAGCTATCTATCTCGCCCATGAATATATTTAAACAAACGAAGTTATGAGAACTATTAACTATTCAGACCCTCTTTCTGTACTACAAAGTCTTAGAAAAGAAATATCGGCAATTCTTTCATTCGTAATAAATAATATTTCATGAACTAGACTCAAAATTCCACATTGATTTTGCTGGGTTCCTGGGCACATGGGAATACCAGGCAATAAAAAACATACTTGCCGCAATAACAGCCGCATCGCTACCACCTGTTATTAAACTTCATTTTACCTATTCTAAACCATTTATCAAGCAGTTAGAACAGCTCAGTGGCAGGTGGACTGGAATCGATATATCGACAATAAGTTGCATTCCGTTAATCCCTATCATCGGTGAATGGTCTCCATGCTTTAGAGACAGCCACCAAACCGAAGTTGTCCTTGCTCGTCTTCAGATGAGCCATAATTACCCTACACATCCATATTTGTTGAAAGGCGAAGGTAATGCTCAGTGCTAGTGCAGAGCACGTTGACTGCATTGACCTTCTAACTACTTTTTTATCGTATGATATCGGTTAAAATACTCTTTTTGAAACTGTTCAGATGTTGGTCTATATTATAGGACATAATTGATCATTTAAATCTTTTTTGATAATATAACTATTTGATATTTTCGCATTTGTTTTTCAACCTTTTAGCTCGTTTGATGTTATTATCATTATGGCATTCTTGACGGCCCGTCAACACAAAAGGTCATCCAGTGATCCAAAAAGGAAATAACATTAAACAAATCAAAAGATATAAGACAAATCTTAATTATTACAAAAGACCCTTTTCAATTGCCGTTTCTTTCGTCGGTTGATGGCCCTAATGACCATTGATGTGTTGAGGGGACGTTAAGAACGTAGTAATAATAGTGATATTAAACAAGCAATTGATGAAATCGAACAATACATTAACATTTGACACATGCTTTTTTCCGCTAGTATATACAGAGTGATATCTAAATCTATTAGTGTTATGTATTCATTAGCACAACATGTAAGCACGTCAGCTAAAAAAACGATAAACAGGTGAACTAAACTGATTATCATACAATCTGGTACAGTGACAATTTCTGTCATCTGAACTCCTTATGGCACCCTTTCAACGATGCTACAACTACATTTCTTTAAATTATTGCCCAATACGAAAAAAATGAACATCGCTCTCTATACCTTGCATTTCAGCTTTTTTCAAAAAGAGATATACTATTTCATATGAACGGAACATCCCATAATAGTCTTTGCGCCCACTATTTCTTTTTGCTTTTTGTTAAATAGCTGGATATTTTCCCTTCGCTTCTTTTCTCCATCTTCCCGAGGTTTTGCTTATAAATGTATGAATACTGAAATGTTTTTTGTCGTGATCAATTTCAGTAATGTAAGAATATGTATACCAAACTTTCTTAGCTAACAGGCAGCCGTATTGGATTATTACTATTTTGTTGGGGTTTTTCTAGTCAGTCTGAAAATAAAAAGCACATCCAACAAGGGACCAATTTCGGAAGTTACAAAGGAAATTTGAGAAGACTCATTTATTACTTTTAGCAAAATAGCGATAACAAACTTTCGTGGTCGCTATCCAAGATGGCAGCACGAAATTCAAATGGCACAAATAGTGACCAAGGAGAACCTTAATTTGAAATTTTAAAAAAATATATCCCTTGCATAGAGAAATAGCGATACCAACTTTAATTTTCAAAATGCAATATCTTTATGCAAGATTGTCACCTGTCAGCCTTTTTGTTTTACCGGTCAGTTCCAGAATCAGAAGGGCGAATTGCATAGTCCACCTTGACCTGTAGTGGTATATTCACATAAAGACACTGATGGTACCTACTTAACGGAGCTATGTTAAGAATTACAAAAAACTTACTGAGCTCATATACTACAGTCACAATAAAATATATTTTGGGAAAGCGGGAGATACATCTGCCTTAGTCACAACTTTATTTTACGTTTGTTTTATTATATAAAGTAATCATTGTTTAAATACCTCTATGTTATCTCGAAGCACAGACATTTGGCTCTTTGCGAAGTAGTAACCAGGATTCTCCATGACACATTTATGTTCCAGTTCCGATCCAACCTCATCATAATTATACCAAGTAGGGATGAACTTAGGTGAGGATGTTAGTCCATTCACTAGGATCCGAGTCAAACTGTTATCCATGTTGGAACTACAATTATATAAATGTTATATTTGTACAGCAACACACAACAAACTTAATAGTAATAGTAAATGCAATCATCACCTCACGACGTTTATAACACGCTTATGAGAAAATCAAATGTCGCAACGTTAAAACCTATATTCGTACGTAAGTTGCGTACATTACAAATTCTATAACGTGACCTGTTCTAACATGTTTCCGGCTATAATATATTGATACATTTCCCGGCAACAGGGCGATATAATCCTTTCTAGCTTGTGAATTACAACATGTCCACAAACATTGCATTTCCGGCTTTTAACATATCAATAATGTCACCCGACACTCCCTTCGTAACATGTTTAAAAGAAACGTCACACATCGATAAACACTACAAAATTAGTGCTTACACACACGATCAAGTCGACATCTGCTGTGGTCTCTGTTGCAATGAAAGAATCTGATTACGTTGCAGTATGTTAAGTCACCCTTGTGTGAATTATTAATTATTTCACAAGGATATCCATTCCAGGGTTTTCGGATTTCATCATTGATGACCCCAAAGAAAACGACATTCCATTCGGAATTCTCGTTCAAAGATGGCCTATAGTGAGTGAAATGCTCCGCAGGTGTGAACAATGAATAACTGTATTCCGGATAAAATATCACTAATGTATACAGCAGTGCTGTTAAACAATACTGTTGCAGGTGAGCTCCGGTATTGTATTTCACATTTCAAGAGTGTCAATTCCCCATGATGAATATAACATTTTTCATGTATAACGTATTAATTTCGTCATTCCCGTGTTGTTCTTTATAGACAGAGATTTTAATATAGGTTGGAAAGGGCTAGAATTCAATAGATATTTCTGTAAAAAAATTTTGCTTCCAATCCAGTCGCCTTCGCACACGTCTGACTCGACCAATGTTAATTTATTCCCATATTGAGTAAAATGAACACTTGTTGTAAATCTGAGTACAAGAGGTAAATGAGCCTTTTAAATGTACGTCAGGAAAATGCAATAGTCAAGTACTTTATTAGGCTTATACGCATAAAGAGGCAGCGTGGGACGATAATAATTGGTATAATATAGCCCAAAAGGTCACTGGCGATATGCTTTACTAAAGTCTATATCAGAGTCCTGGTTCGACTTCTGACATCTTTACGACAACGCATTTCCAGAGCCTTAGAGCCACAGATACGGACATAAAGGCCCCTATCATGTCTGATGAACGTTAGTTATACATACACTATTGACACTGGACGTAAAGTCTGTAACCGGCCAAAATCACTTTTTCGGGCACTGTATTCTATACCCATTTCAGCTCCCAATTTACAGCTCAGACTTTGTTTAAATTCAACATATTCATGAATGTCGAGTAATTCAATGAGAAGTCATAGGGAAGACAAATATAATAATAATCTGAGCAGCTGTCATTATTAGCCGAAATCATAGAATTAATCATTACATTGTATGCAAATGGGCAACATAATAACCGACCTATAGGCAACATGTGTTCATCAACGTATTAACATTATACTGTCAATGAAATTGGAACGTATATTAATAATGATAAGGGGGTAACGTGAGAGATGTGCAAAGAAGAGGAGAGTGAGGGAAAGGTATAAGTGGTGGTGGCAAGGGGTGGGGTTTAAGCTATAATTACCGGTATAAAAGACTGAACTTTCGATGGACGTCTGTAACCAACCAAAATCAAAAGAAAGCTAAACCATTTCTGCCACTGTATTTTATACCCATTTCGGCTTCCAATTTATAGCTAAGACTGTGTTTAAATTCAGCACATGCATGAATGTTTAACTTTAGCACATGCATGAACGTTGAGATATACATAATAATCACAGCAGCTGTCATTGTTAGCCGAAATTATACAATTTGTCATTACATTGTATGCAGATGGACAACATAATAACCGAATTGTAGACAACACGTGTTCATAATGTATCAACATTATACATTTAATGTAATTGGAACGTATATTAATGATAAGGAGGTAACGTGAGAGATGTGCAAAGAAGAGGAGAGTAAGAGTAAGGTATAAGTGGTGGTGGTAGAGGGTTTAAGCCATATTTACAGATATAAAATACCCATTTGCGTTTACTGAACGTTAGTTGTACGTCTATAACCAATCAAAAGAAAGGTAGAACTATTTCTGGCACTATATTCTATTCCCATTTGGCTCCCAATTTATAGCTTAATCTTTGTTTAAATTCAGCACATGCATGAACGTATGACAACCGGTATGCGGTCATGTTGAATTTTGACTTTGAAAGTTTATCACTATTTCATAAGAAGTACTGTATTGATCTTTCTCAAATTTCATGTATAAGCCTCTTGGTACCTAGTCGTACATCTCTTTGATTTCGCCGAATAACAATTGTTATGCCTTAATTTTAAGATGTACTGGATGTATGTCTCTCAAATTGCATACGTCTCTCCTTGTGCCAAAAACAAAAGGGCTTCCAGGCGGCCTTTGGGATTTGGTAGGTAAAGATTATTATAATTATTGCATTGTAAACGGCCCGTCAGCACATAAAAGGTCATTAGAGCCATTAACCGTTAAAACACACAGCGATCCAAAAGGAAATAACATTAAAAAAAGGTAAAATACAAGTGCTAAAAATCTTAAATGGATATATTAACACGAAATTAAATGTTACATCATAGTCTATTATAAAGACCAATATCTTTCAGGTAATATAGAATTTTACAAATCTCAACAGTTTCAAAAAGAGTTTTTAGACATGTAATGTTACGATAATAACATTCTCGAGTAGACAGGTCAGTGCAGTCCAATTAAAAATGATTAACGGTGAATGGCTCATCACATCCTATGCACCGAGGATTTTCTTCGCATTTCAACATATATGAATGTATAAGGTATGGATGACCCATCCGAAGACTGGAAAGGACAACTTCGTCTCGGTGGCTGTCTCTATAGCATGGAGACCATTCACCGATAATAGGTTTTAAGGAGTGCAATTTGTTATTGGTATATGTATTCAATTTCTATCATTGCAATTTCTCCAAAGAAATTTTCAAATGTCATTTCATTACGATCAAACAACGGTCGGCGCCAAGATCCCTCTAGGATATTTTGATTTTTTGTAAATTGTACATGTATAGTGTATACTGCATTTGTTCATTTACCAAAAGATTATACAAATACCAGTTTTTCAGTTTTAACCCATGCATTAGCCTCAATTTGGTGTATTCGTTACGCTGTAAAGTGTAAATGCAATTAAATCTTATTTAGACAGCAAAATGATAATTTTGATATTTCCGAAGTAATAATTTTGGTATATTTAATATGTATTGATGTCATGGTAAATTAAAACTGTTGAATGTTGGTTCAATCTATGGAATTGGATAAAGAATTTTTATACTGTTGCCACTGAATCTGGTTTATAGCAAGATCACGTCTGGAAAGCATTTTAAGATTTGTTCAATTTAGTAGAAAAAAAATGGCAAGAATACTTTGCTTTAGTTTTGAGAAAGCTTAGGATAAAGCACATGTACATTTTGAAAAACTTTCGACATAAAAATACCTCAAAAATAATATTCTCAAAAATTAAGAATGTGATTGGAAAAAAACTGTTATCAAAGAGGCCAAGTTGATCCTCGGACTTCAGTGTGAATGTTATAATGAAACATATCTACTACCGGTACTATAAATTTATTTATAGAAATTTCTCCATCCCAACACCACCTATTGATCCTTTAAATGCTCGTACAAGTAATTTTTTGCTTTTGATTTATATTCATAAATACAATCCAGACAGGACAGAGTTGTAAATATATATTTTATAATCAATCGGTATTTACATAAAAACTAAGTGATATGATGTTGAAATAGACGCAACAAAACCCTTGAAAAAAAATTTAACTTGATAACCATTTTCATTTCTATCAACATCTGAAATCAGGATTTTAATCCAGGGATCTGCTGTAGTTTCTCTCTAATATCAATATTTTACAAAAAGGATACATGTATATTGCAAGTTTCTTATCTCACATATTTTAAGCAAGTCTTGGTATAAAACTAAAAATGTCGAATAATTAAAGTGACAAGGCAAGAATGGGGTTGAATTACATGTCTGAATAGTCATGACGAATCACCTGTTACAAATTTATTAAAACATGGATTCGGAATAATTAAGCACACCAACAATTGCTTTCTGAAACGACATACGTCCATGAAATATTTACAACTGCACATCATCCCACTATCCGCTGACACATGGCAGACAGTTGACATAAATATTGACAGCGCACGTTTGCATTCGAGAGTTGTGCAAAGGTCAAACAGCGAAACATTGATACTTGCTTATTATGATAGGGATATGATATCATTCAAACATACTGTAATGCCGAGTGAAGTGTTAACAGAATAAACAATGTAAGACGTGGTAGCGTCAATTGAGGTATTTAATACTCGTAATACTAAATATAAAGGAAACTAAAACATAGGTTCCCCATGGTACACAACTCCTTACTATCAATTATATGGAAAACAACATAAGCTGGAGTACCTGTGTACGATTACGTCCTTCCCGGCCACTAGACACAGCTAGAGAGAGAGAGACAACTGTTCACCTGTGCACGTGCTCTCGTCACGCCCTAACACACACGATACCGTCTAAATCGTCACTGAGTGGGACATGCACTGCGTACTAAATAGGTCAGTGAGCTAATTACACTAGCATTACAATACGATAGCCAGCTGGTGCCGTATATATCAATTAAATGTACATTCCACTATAGAAAAAAGTTTTACAAGGAAATAGACGTTTCCCGATACAGTGTCGAGATAATCGTAAAATAACAGTTCTCCGCGGCAAGGAATAACGTCAACAATTCAATAAAGACACATTCTAAATCGCCAACGCTAAATAAGGAGATGTCCTGACACTAACCTGTTAAATAAACTTCTCAAAAGACAACACGCCTAAACCCCACATGGGTGCCCCCATTTTTGTTACTCTTGCAATCGGAACATC